TGTAATTTCTTATTCTTGACTGCCATTGTTTTTTCTGTTTACCATCACTCATGAACACTCCCTGAAAAAAAGATTCACCCCCCCCCCCCGCCACTTTCCATATGAAGTGTACAACTGAAGAAGGTCACAGAAGGAATCAACTTAAATGTAATAACAAAAAGAATAAAATCAATAGTCTAAACAACTCTTGAACTTTTAAAACTACTTTTGTATATATTATAAAATAATCCAATATATTTGTTAAAAGACACCAGATTTATAAGTTTTCTAATAAGCAGGTGAAAGAAAATTGAATATGTAGTTGTTTTTGAGAGAAAAATATACTTTTGTACATTTATAATTTGTAGGAAATTGGGAAAAAAAATCAACAACTTTGTACATGAATAGTCTTAAATGCATTTGTGTGTGTGTGTGTTCGTTTTTTTTATTCACAGGGATTTACAGCCTTTTTGTTTAATAAATATAGAGAATTATTTAAAAAACGATTCTTTGTTTTGGTCAAGTTATAGTGGTGTGGGACTTAGGGGTTAAAATAAACAGTTGATTTACCCATGCCAAGGAAGCACATGGGTAATTTTAACAAAAACCTGATAAGGAATTTATTTGTGAATTTACATACTTGAAGTTGTGTCAGTAGCTTGTTTCAGGAAAATGAATCAGAAATTTTTAAAGTCCATAGTTTTAACAAATTGTCACGAAGAGGAAATGTTAATAGAACAAATGATCTGACACAACATAATATTCAAAAATGTTTAAAACAAAATGTAAGAGAGTTTGTTGCTCACATAAAGCATATATGGTTGTATACATTCAAAAGTAGCTGAAGAGAGTTTAAAATATTTAGCTTTCTTGGATTGTTGAAGTGCTATGTGCTTGGTTAAAAGGCTAATAATGTAATTGGCGAGTAATTTGACACTGGCAAGAACTTGAACGCTGAACATGCGAACAGAAACAAAACTTTTCACATGACTTCAGAAAATCTTCTCTTGTTAATTTAATTTTTTTTCTTCATTTTATATCAAAAAGACTTTTGCATAGGCTCACTATTTTCTTTCTTTCTTCTTGGCTCAATGGACAATTCCTTTGGAGACAAGGTTTTCATTGATCCAAAAGCAATTTCACATAAGCTTGCAAATTTATTTTTGTCTTCTTTTCAGCTTGCTGGTTAATCTCTGTAAAGGCAAGGTTTTCATTGGTCCAAAGAAATTTCACATAGGCTCACAAATATCTTTCTGTCTTTTTCCTCAGCTCACCTTTATTTGAAGGGAGTGGGTAATAGGGATTATTATTTTGTACTCACCACAGTTGAACAGATTTTTCTTTTGGATGTGAGAAAGTGAATGACAAAATAGCAAAAAACATGGTATGGTTTTATTGATGCAGTCAGTCATGTATATAAAAGGTTGGGTGGGGAAGAAATGCAACAAATATCAAAATCTTTGTAAATGTTTCTAAATGTTTAACTTAGCTGATCTCATTCAGTTTTTTTATTACTTTTATTTTTATTGCTATTTTTAATTATTTCACATTGTGTCAACAATCATTTTGTGAAGAAAGGAGATGTGCTGTATGATACTGGATTTAAATTTACTCTACAAAATTGTGAGATTAGTGTACTCACAATAAATTTTTGTCTTAATACATTTCTATCTCTTAATTAAGACTGCATTCTTTAAGAGAAAATTATGGTCAGACTTATGTATGTTTATCTTTAACACTTCAATGTAAATTTTAACTGGTGTCTGTTGTATTTCATTCATCCCCACCCACCTTTTTTTATATGTGTGTATATATACATATATATAAAACTGATTCCATCAATAAAACTGTTATTAGTCTGAAGAAGTTCCTTCTTGAAATGAAACATGACACTAAGAAGAAGGCTTTTCTCTTTTGTCATTCACTTACCAACTATTTGCATTATATATATATATATATATATATATTTATTCATATCTTACATGTTAGAAAATATAAACTCTCTTTTTCCTTTGCATTGACTGTTAACATCTAAAAAAGACAAATTCATCTATGAATCATGTTTTTAATCAGCTTTTGTTACTTTTAAGAATTTAAAGATTTATAATATTTCTTTTCCTGTTGGCAAACTTTAGCAGCTGGATAGTTCTCCATTTTGAAGGCAACATTCAAAAGATTTGTTTTTGTCTAAAGAACAAAAATACCTAGTTACTAACCATTTAGCAAAAGTTTCTTGAATTCTCACATCTTGATCACTGCTTCATTTTACTTTCTATTTCTAAGTTTGCATGATGCCTTTTGTTCTTGTTACTTTCCTTTTACTCAAAAAGGTATGAACTCAGTCATTTTCTTGACTTTTTCTTCTTGATTTTGGTAAATCATAAGATGGGTAGAGAAAAATATTCAAGTTTTCTTTATTTGAATACAAAATTGATAGTGTCATCTTAAAAAGGGTAATATGTTTCTTTTGAGATGTTATTCAGCGCATCAGACTTTTCTAATCTCTCCTTTGGATATGGTTTCAAGGGGAAAGTTGGTTCCTTTTATTTATTTTTCTTATTTTCTAAGGATATTGCAAAAACTCTCGAAAATATGTATAAATTTGTCCTAGTGGATTAGCTTTCATTCAGCCTATTTAATTTTTATTCATTATTACTGTGAAAAGAACTGAATTAAAAATGGTGTTGAAATAGGGGAAAATTGTGAAATCATTGGAAAACTACCTAACAAGTTGAAGATGTTTACCAAGTTTTTCTTAATTTGGAAACAGGTTGCAGCTTGCTTACAGCAGCTGATGTTCCTAACTGGTCACCATTCTAAAAACAGAATAATCTAATTATTGCTTAACTTTGCCAGTTGAGCAGGAGTTGGTGTTTTTAGTGTGATTTGGCTGTAAGCAATAAATTCAGTTCAAGATTGAGAAATGTAAAAATAAAGTAACTTAATATATTTTTAATGCTTGCCCAAATTTTAACTGGAAACTGTGAAGCCAGGTTTACTGTTTTTTTTTTTTTTTTTTATAAAATATTTCATTTGTCTTGTTATGTTTTCTCTTCTGTAGTTTCAGTCTTTAAGAACTCAGGTGAACCATCTAATCCTTCTAACTACAGGACTGTTAGCCTTGTAACTCTTTTTGACAAAGGTTCTAATCAACTTCAAATTGGTTAAACATCTAATTTCTCAAGGTATTATTTTAGACAAGTAATATGGCTTTCATTTCTCTAGGTCAACCTCTGATGTACTGTCATTGTTGAAAGAGTTTATCAAGCTTTAGAATGATGTTGCTTTGGATATCTAGAAGGCATTTGACGGCGTTTGGAATGCTGATCTTCTTCACAAGTTGAAGGGTTATGATATTTCTGGACAAATTTTTGAACTGATTTAATTGCAAAATGAAAGTTGTCTTGAATAGTCACTCTTCTAGATCTTTTTGCATTATTGTAGGTGTTGCCCAGGGCTCTATCCTTGGAACTATATTGATCCTAATTTTCATTATTGACCTTCCTGATGTCATCAATTCTTGACTTGGTATCTATGTTGATGACACCACTATTTACTCCTGTCTTAATGATAAGTCTGATCGGTTAAATATGGTCAAATTGAAAGCTGATTTTAAAAAAATACCTACAATCTGTTGTTAACTGGGGCAAGAAATGGCTTGTCAATTTTAATGCCTCCCTCACAAAAAATTCTCTCTTAATCATCTGAGAGAACACTTTTTGACTTCAATCAGCAAGGCTGATGCTAACCTCCAGAAGAGTGACTTGTTGTGCCTTCTCAAGCTAATGTTTTATTCTTACATGAATTGAAAAGATTATATTGAATCTGTTGCTAGATCTGCTGCTAGGAAAATCATTTCACTGTGTCTTGCTTGACAATTTTTCTCACTAGAATATATGTTACATATTTATAAGTCTACCATTCATCCATGAATTGAATATTGCTGTCACATCTGGTCTGGTGCTTCTGTTATGTATTTAGAGATTCTTGATAAAATCTAAAGAAGAATCTGCAATGTTATCAGTCCTGCTCTGGTATCTTGACTTCAGTCACACAACCCACTACTGCTATGTAATTTCCCTGTGTCTTTTCTATAAATACTTTCATGGTAATTGTTCTGATGAGTTTTCCCCTTTAATACTTTGATTTTCTAATTTTAAGTGCACTAGTAGATTGGTAGCTAGGTCTCATTATTTTACAGTTGAAATGGCTAGATATAACTGTAAGTTTTATGCTAATAATTTCTTCTCTTGCACTCCTTGCTTGTGAAACTCTCTTCCAGTCAACTTCTATCTTCAAAAATTTAAATGCGATATCAATCATTGTCTTCTCAATTCCTGTCCTCTCTCCTCAGTGTTTCTCTTTTTCACATATTCTTTCACACAAAGTAACCTCTGGCATCTTAGTAACTTTATTGCCTTGTTTGTAGTGAAAAAAAAAACATATACTCTTGCAAAAAGATATTGAACAACATTTTAATATACACTTCAATTCAAAAGTTTATGGCAACCCTGGCAACTTTTTAAATTGGCCCCAAAAGTAGTTGTTTTATACTTTAAATAAGATAAAATTATTATACATAGTTAAAAAAAAGTGAGACATGATTTTTTCTTAGAAATTGTATTATGACAAAAAAAAAAAAAAGCATTCTATGATTAAATTTTGTTCTTGTCAAAATATCCTCCTTTAGCCTTGATTACTGCAGCACAAATTTTTAGCATTCATTGCAAAAGTTTCTCAAAGTATAAGTTTGATAATTGATTCCATTTTTTTTTCAGTTACTCTAAGATCTCTTTATCATTTTTTTTCACTCTACTGTCAAGTTCATCCCATGCTAATTCTGCAGGTGGTTTCAAACTTTTGAACTGTAGGGTATGCTAGATGTTTACACAATAAATGCTCAGCTCTATTGAAATTTTAGCTCCAGTATGATTTCTTTTTACTCTTATGACTCTGGATTATAAAATTCCTTGCATGTTCTACTTGTTCAAAAGGTTTTATCTTTATTACTTGTTTTTCAGGTTCTTCATGATATTATTGGCCACCTCAACAAAAACAGTCGGCCTTGTATGCGATATGAAGATTATAAGGAATCCTGGTCTTTGCAGAGTTACTGGCAGGTACTTGATGTCTTTGAAAACTTACTTCAGGAAGTTTGCAAAGACTCCTTTACAAAAGATCAGGTATGAAGAAGAAAGTTATTTTTAGCACCAACTATGTTTAATATATAATGGTTATTTTTGTAATATATTTTAGATTGATGCCAAAGTTTCTAGCATGTTTTGACAAAATCTTCCATTTATATAAATTCATAGCATCATTATTCAAATATTTTTTAACTTTGTCACTTTTCAGGTAAATTATGTATTTTGTCATACAAGAAAGATTCCGATTTTGATTTGATAAATTCTTCTAGGAATTTCTGAACATTTCCAATTGACTGGAACTGCTGATCAAATAAGGAATGTTGCTTAGAGTAATAATGAGTCTGTGAGAAATCAGGAAAATGCGATCCATGTAAAAGAACAGTTCCAAGATTATTTACTGCATTGCACTTTTAACATAGGTACCTCCACGAAATCACTAAAAAAAGAGCATAGCTTGCCGAAAACTAAATTTTATTGTCTAAATGCTTATGTTATTATTAAGAGGAAAGACCAAAGTTTTTTTTTAATTATTTTTAAAAAAAAATTCCTTCTTTTAGAACATTCTAAATTTTGATTAAAAAAAAAAAAAAAACCTTTTTCTATTTGTATCAGCGGAACTAGTAAATAACATAGACAATTTTTAGCACGTTTTTTTTTTATTTCCTGACACACATTAATTTGAAAAATCGTGCAAAAATAGAAATAATTATCGGATGTTAATGAAACTTTCAGGAACTATTCACAGATGATCGAAATTATTATAAATATGTTTTTTTTTTTTTTTATGAAAGTCATGGTAGAAATATTTTTTTTAAATATTTATTACCCCCATAACTAATTTTATGAAAACGCTAGAAATTCGATCGCATCGGTTTTAGTGATTACAATAATTAAAAAAAGCACAGGGCTTTGAGGAATGCAAATCATGTTTTTTTTTTTTTTAATTGGAAACCCAGTACCTGAAAATCAGCTCTGAATTGTAACATACAAAAAACTCAATAAAACAAAGATATTATTTAATTTCAAATGCTTTTATTTGCTTTTTAGTTGTTTTTTATGAATATGGACAATATTTTCTGAAAGCAAAAAAAAAATTTTTCGATGAAAAATGAATTTTTAATACAATTATTTGTTATTTCTTTAATTATAATAGATTTTACATTTAAGTTGTTAAAATATTATAAAATTAGTTAAAAAAGCCACATCGGCTTTCATAAGTGTCCTTATGAGATAGATCTTTTTTTAGCGCGTTGTAAATTGTATCATTTTGACTAATCAGAAGATCCCCAGTAATTAAGAAATATAATTTTGTGCTTATAATCGAGCTGTAATTATAAAATACGGAAGACCAATCAGAATATAATTAAGTTGCGTTATTTGAGTTAAGCATTGTTCTCCGCTGTTAAGGCCTTTACTTTTTAATGTAAAACACGTGTGGAGAAGTTAATTTGATTTTTTCAATTTCAACTGAGAAGGGTACCTACAAGTATCAGTATCATCTTATGAAATTTATATGATCTTATTTTTATATTAATCTCAGTTACGACATTTTTCCATAAATGAAATATCAAAATTAATAATAAAATGAATGCAAATACAAATAACAGTAGAATGTAATAAATGTACATAAAATTATAGTATTTTATGTACAATTCTGATAAAATTTCATAAGAAAGGTACCTATAAATTAATTAGATACCTTTCTTAAGAAATATGAAATTTAATGTCACTCTTAACAGTTTTATTTTAATTTCTTTATAATATATTTCCCATAAAGCATCATAAACGTAAAGGTGAAAAGCTAAAAAAAAAAAAAAAATTAGACCGCTGAAAGTTTTTACCTTAAAAATAACGGGGTAAATAATTTGTTCACTTAAATGTAAATTATTTCACTTTTCTCCTTCCGTAGAACAAATTAGCCTCATGGAATTCGTAAATATATCATTCATCACATGTCAAGAGACGCGAAAAGTTTATGACCTGCTTTGTTTTATTTTCAAATTACATCTTTTGGCACAAAAAAGCTAAGTTAAGTTTGGTTCAAAATATTTTAAATAAACATTATAATTTCTGATTTTCTTAAAATAAGTTTTGAAAAAATGATAATTGATATTTAAAAAATTTCAAAGTCAGATTTCAGTTTTTTTTAAAATGGAAAAAAATGGTCAATTTTGCTGACTCAAAAAAAAAAGATTTTTAACGAAAATTTCGGACGTGCTAGGAACGATTAAAAAATGGAAAAAATACCCTAAAAATACTTTGACCTTTCCTCTTAATAATAACAAACATTTAGACGATAAAATTTTGTTTTCGTCAAGTTTGGCGTCTTTTTCATCATGCTATGCTCTTTTTTTAGTGATCTCGTGGAGGTACCTATTTTAACAGGAAGATGTTCATTGCCATGCAAAAAGTCACTGATTAACCTCTTTGCCCTGATAAAGATCATTTTTTGTTTCAGTGTGTCAGTCAAAAATGCCAGTTACTCAATGTTCAATTTCACAGTAATTTATAATGAAAATTCTTTTTAAATTCAACCAAACACAGACAACATTTTTCCCAGATGTTCAAGGCTGTCCAGGGTCTATACATAATTTTTTCATTTTAGATTCTTATTATAAATCCATTTTTATGGCCATTTCATTATCTTGTTCAAAAATGACATTTTCCTGTGTAAAGTGACTACAGAAAGATAACTGTTTAAATGCTGACCTCTAAGGTTTTGTAGAATCCATTTTCTTTATCTTTTCATTTTTTTAAATTGTATCAAGATGCTACCATTGAGTAGTTAAATTCTAATTTTTCTGCAAGTTCACATTACAACTTCCTCCAAATGTACATACATTTTATCAGTTTTCAAGTTATAAAGGTATCCAAAGCATTCTTTGATCTTGAACTCAAAATCTTTAAATGTTGCAAGATTTTTCCTGATACATGCTTGTACCTTCTGCTGTAGTACTTTTTCCACAGATTAAAGATGATGAATAAACAGTGTTGAATGTGAATTTTATATTCAGCCATTATTCACTCTAAAATAAATTATCACTTTTTTCTTTTGTTTCTTATACATGTAGATGGAATAAAGTACTGAGTAAATTTTTTAAAAATCACTTTAAAAATTCCTCAAAGATCGTTAAAAGATTTTAGTAAGAACTTTTGCCTTAACCTTATTTACCATGTTCTAATCTAGAATATTTTTCAATGAAAAGTAATTTTTTTTTTTCCAACTGAAGGTAAATATTTTTCCATCAAAAACAAAACTTAAAATCAAGGTTTTGCAAAATAATCATCTCGTTTTTTTTTCAAAATCATTTAATGAAAATTAATTATTAATAAATATAAGGAGGTCTGGTATCACTGTTTGATAACTCATGAGTCATGAAGCAAAAATACCCATTGCAATTGAAATATAGCTGAATAATTCAAAGGTGCCATATTTGGTGAATGTTGTGGATGTATGAAAACTTGCCTGTGAAACTCAAACAATTTTCACTTTATCACAAAGAGACATGTCGATTAATATTATTCTAATGAAATCTCATTTTCTTTTTTGGATGCTTTTCATTCATTGCTTCCTTGAATCAGTCTAATTGGGAGTAGTATCTGTTTAAATCAATCATTTGGTTATCTAGTGGGAGCTTGTAGTAAAAAAAACTCACTTCCAGTCCCACTGTGTATACAACACTACCTATTTTGGAGTATTTTTTTAATACAGTTAGCAAAGATTCATTTCACTTGTTCAGTGACCGCTACCATTCCATTTTCTTTTAAAGTAAACACTTTACATTGCTCATCATATTTAGATTATGTTTAAATAGTGAATTTCTATTTATGTGGAAGCTACACATCAAAGTAACTAACATAACTTAATGAGTGGAAATGTTTTTCAATACTTGATTTGCTTATTTTCAGTATGTCATAGATCTTCCACAATTTTGGCAAGGCAATAAAGCCACTAAGATGCAAGAGGAAATGAGAAATGAAAAACATTATTAAAGAAAGAGAACAATAAAAGAACAGGGATTAAGAAGGAAGAAGATAACATTTCACATTGCATTTAAATTTTTGAAGACCAAAGTTGTCTGGAAAGTAAGAAGTTGGAAAAGAATTCCACAAGTGAGAATTGCAATAGAAGAAACTGTTAGCATAGAACTTACTGTTACATCTAGCAATTTCAACGGATGAGAATTAGCTACCAATCTACTACTGTGCTTAAACTTGTAAAGGTACGAAAGAGGAAAGCTCATCAGAACAATTACTATGAAAATATTAATAGAAAAGGCACATGGAATCTATGTAACAGCTGTGGGAAAATTCCAAGATGCCACATCAGGATCAATATCATTGCAGATTCTTCTTTGTAAAATGATATAATCCTGTAATCATTATTTTCAAGTAGTGTCTTGAATTGACTACTTTCAACTTCAGTTAGTCTAACCAACCATGGAGTACTGTTTTATGAGAAATCTCTATGAAACTTCACAAACTACTTTTGTTATGTTTGATCAGTTACGGTACCTTATCCATAAAGTGTATAAATCTTTTGAGTAATGTTTTTACTTTTAAAATAAAAAGGCATAATGTGTTGAAAATGTTGCCTATTTTTTTCATCTTTTATAAACTGTAATGCATAACCCGAAGCGAATAAACTTAGGAAAGCTTTATTCAACTTAATACAGCTACAAAAAAGAAAAGAATTAAGCTAGCTTATTTATAAGCATTTCTGGAGACTGTCCATTACACCAAACAGGGGAGCAGGTTGTGGGAATTACTTACAACATAAAATAAATATTTGCTAATGTGACATCTGTTACAGCAAAATAATTTATTAATGAAGTTAAAACTCCATGCTCATCATACCATCAAACAACAAAAACTGAACGTTTTAGTTGCATATTTGACTAGAATATTTATAATAAATGTACATATTTTTGTGTCTAAATCATTCCCATTAAAATACAAAAAGATAGCTGATGTTATAGAAATGTTGTTATTTACTGTATCCTTAGAAATTCAAAATAGCAAAACCTATATCATGTTTTTCCTACACATGCCCCTTAAAAAGGAAAACAATTGTTTATGTTTCATCACATGATCTCTTGCAAATACTGATTCTTCTTCTTTCTCTTCTTTTCCTATATTATAAACAGTTATGTTGTAACCTAGAAAGGGTTACTTAATGAGGAATAACCAAAACAGAGGTTGGAAATGAAATGGTAATCTTTATAGCATCAACAAAATAGAATACTCGTCAGCGACGTGAAGCAGGTAAACTACTGCTAGTGGTGAACTACTTAAACAGCATATTACCCCCACTTACAATAGTGTCCAACGTACTTATGAGGATTGGGACATACTCATTAGTGTTCATAGGTACGGTATATAACAAGTTACAAACAGACTGGTGTACTAATAGCCATTTACTTATACTTTATCGACAATCACAAAATACTGCTAAAAACAGTATGATAATGTACAATAATAGTACATTCCATTTTCAACATCTGTAAAAGGATTTTTATTTGAAAAATAAAGGGTGTATGTAATTCTAAATTATGTTATTATTTAACACCAAAATGATAATGAATTTTTAATGAGAAATGAATATTATTTTATCCTAAATGTTATCACTGCCATAATTAACACTCATGGTGATAATTGAAATTTTAGTGAAAGATAAAGGTTGCTGTGAAGAATGCAATCATAACTTGATGTTTACATTTTCTTAGCTGAGCTTCCATGGATACAAGTGGCTTTCATTGATAGGGAATTATTCTTCAAATAGACAATTTAGTATGAAGTTATGCCAAGGTAAAAATGGTTTTATTACTTTCATTATCAGTTTATTTGATAATGTAAATCTTTTCATGTACATTATTGGTTATCACACCAAAGCCAAGGTTAGCCTACTGACAAACACCACTCAGAATTTAAGTTTCCTTTTTTAGAATTGTAGTATAAGACGTCCCACAATTTTTAAGGGTGATTTTTAGGGATTTAAAGCTCATCTTATACGCGGAAATAGACGGTATGTTGATTTTTTGGCTTGTGAGACTAAAATTTTGTACATTGTTCTCTATTCAAGGGTAGACAACTCCGATTATTTATTCTATCCTAAATTGTTTCAAATTTTTCTTTAATTCAGTCTGAAAGGAATTTTTCTTTCTAAGGTAGTATTTTACATTTTTGATGAATTATAATTTTTCATTTACAATGATAAATATGTATTTATGGAAATCTGTTTTAAAAAATTGTTCAAATATTGTAACTTTACAGAAGAAATATATAGTTGGATTATTAGGTTGATTGTTATTGTGTTTTTGTTTTAAGATAACATTGCTTTTGTTATCTTTTACTTGTTAATAGATTTGACATTAGTACATATCACTTATAACCATAGATTTATATCCATGTTAGAAACATAAGAAAAATAACTAGTAGTATTCACATCAGTAGAGATAGATGTTTCGTTCAAGCATTGCATAACTGATTCTGTAGCATTTTGCTTTATCTTTGTAGGTCAGCATGTCAGTAAATAATATAAGACTGGCTTTAATTTTGGTTAAACAATTTATTTAACAACTAAATTATTTTAGATTTGTGCATGTAAAAACTGCGATAAAACGTGTGAAAAGGATGACACCACTTTTTTAACTACCTTCACTCTTTGGCTATATTTAATGTTTTAAAAAGCTATGATTAAAATTGGAATAAAATGTAAAAATATGATGATGGTGAATTTATACATTTTTTCTTGAGTATTTACAAAAAAAAAATTAATTATCAGTATTTATTTATTTGAGTGTTTATTTATAAGAGTATTTTTATATTTACAACTAAAAACTAATACAATGCAATATTTATCATTTATCTGTACATTTATAAATGTTTACTAAATTTTTAAAATATGTGAACCAACTATAAGGAAATCCCTATTATTTACCATTTTATAAAGTTTGAATCAATTGGCAATTTGCCAATGTTTTGCCAATCATTCCAATAAGTAATATAATAAATAGTATAAATAAACAATCTAATAAATAGTGTTTATTATTTTTGTTTTCAGTTCTCAAGAACAAAGAAAATGTATAAATTCATTTTCGTATGTTTAGGTTTTATTACAATTCTAATCTTCTCTTTTCAAAACAACAAACCTTGCTGAAGAGTATAAGTAGTTAAAAAAGTAGTGTCATGGGAAAAAGTAGTCCTTTTGACACTGTCTTATTGCAGGTATATTTATCCATGTTTGCCACCTTTTCATTGCTGAATGACTTTATTTAATATGTTGATTATTTAACCCTTTGATGAAAGCTAAGAAAAAAAATGAATATTGAGGAATTAAAGCATCATCTGAAAAGTAAACAAAAGGAAAAATCTTTTACAACAGGATAGAATTAGATAATTTATTCCAGTTTTCTTGTCTACTTGAACTGTATAAAACATTAGTGATCCAGTTCTTTGGAGAGCATTGCACTTTTGTAATTTAATCAGTTTTAAAACTGGTAAGTGTGAGGAAAAGGGCCAGTGTATATTATAGTCTGTTGTGATAGGTTGAAAGTATTTTTGCATAAGTTAAATGAAATTCTTTAACTTAGTTCCTATTTCATGGATCATTATTGCTTGATGTTTCTATAATAATAAAAAAAGAAAAAACTTTTACCTGCTACTTAGATAAATGATACTGTACTCAACTAAATTGAGTATGCCAATTCCAATTCTGTACTCAGAACGATCCTAGCAGGTCAAGTTTTTGAGATAGGCACATAATCAAGTGCCTATTTTGGCTGACATATTTTCTTATTCTATCATTTCTATATAATTGGGACATGACTGATTATTTTGGGTGAAAGATAAACATGGGTAGGGACAAATGATTTCACATAGTGTATTTATAATCAAGACAAATATGATATTAATAACATTATAATTTTGTTCAAAGTAAATCATTAGTAAATAGTACATTTATATTCAAGGAAAATTTAAATGTCAACTGGAAATTGAATAAATATAAAATACTTGCTTTATTTCTGATATCTTCAGTAATGTATGAGATATTTGCTTTTGGGCTTAACAATGGTCTCCCATTGTAGAAATTAATAAGTATCATCCATCATGTTTAATTTGAACCAAACTTGATACTTTGATTCCATCTCAAATATGTTATGGTGAAACCTTTCACCATGATTATCACTTACAACTTTCAGATCATTGGTAAAAAATGTTGAGAATGCATTTTAAGAAACATTCACTATCTCATTCTTTGATACAATGGTACTATGTTGTTTATTAAATCAGTTTTCACCTCTATAAGACTCAAGAAAGTTCTTTACAACTAATACGAATGAAGTCCATGCTTTCAGCTCACATGGTTATGCTAATATATTATTAATACAAAATCTTGAACATAAATATTCTATATGAATATCTCAAAACCCTTGTCTGTTATGATAATTCTAGTTTGTGTTTTTTTTTTTTGCACAAAGTCCCTCTAATCATTATCTAATTATTTCACCCAAGCAAGGCAGAGATGTCACTAGTACGCAGGCAGTTACAGGGAGTGAAAGTGAGAGAAAAGACTGAGTATAGGGAGGATTAAAGAAAGTATTCAAGAAGACAGAAGATTGTGATTGACATTGCATTTCAATTTTTGAAGATTGTAATTATCAGGGAAGCAAGTAAATGGAAGGGAGTTCCACAGGTGGGAAGTGTGAGAAAAAAACTGTTGGAGTAGAAGTGGTGGTTGCATTTAGCTATTTCAACAGTAAATAGGTGGGACCTAGATATCAATCTGCTTATAATGCAAATTCCTGACATAACAATTCTGAATCTTTCTTTTTTCTTTCCATGTGACATGTCATTTCAGGACATAGGCTATCATGGCTCTCCACCTCCCTCTATCCTTTGCAGCTCTCAACAAGTTCCTTCCCTCTGCTTCCTCCTCCCAGACCACATTCTGTAATCCACCTGTTTAAGCCTGCTAAGTATGTCACACGTTGTTTTCCCTTGTCTCTCTTTCCCTCTATTCAACCTGTCAGTATCAGATTCTCCAGGCCCTCCTTTCTCATTACATGTCCCAGAAACTTCAGCTGCCTCTTCCTGATATTAAGTATAAGCTTCCTCCTTGTTTGCAAACTCTCTGACCTCATCGTTGCTCACGTTTGGTCCTTGATATCTTTAGCATCCTTCTGTAGAACCACATCTCTGTCTGTTGCCAAGAGTCTCTTCTTCATCTTTGAGGAAATTGTCCAACATTTCATTAATCAGTTGGAAACCACAAAAGAAAGAGGTGCAACTGAAAGTAAATAGTGGCTGTGATAAACAGTATTATGGGAAATATAACATTAAAGTTACAGAAAAGAAATATGTCCCTCATATGAAGTGGCTAATTAAGGATTTAGTTGGGGGTTTATATTATGATTACTTGCCTTGTGTTCAGCTCTACTGCTAGCTTGCTTCTCCCCTGCCCCCAGGTAAATAGCAGGACAGACTTGGATGGCAACTGGTCTACCACAGAAAGAAGTGGTAACCTACTGTGAAAAAAATCTGCCTCGTAAAAATGTATTGATAGTTTGCCTTAAACAGCGCATGGTTAAATGTAATAAAACCTTTTCTGTTGAAATAGGAGTATGTCTAATTTGCCTGTATATCCTTTATGTCATCAAATATCATATGTGTTCTTTCTTTTTCAGAATATAACAAAGAATGTGTGTAACAAAGGCATTTTTTTTTCTTGTTTTAGGTTTTCTCTTGTTTAGGGGATGTATTGCCAGATACTTACAAAGAAGAAATCTATCATGTGATTGACAGTCGCCGTGAAGACATAAGGAAACATGCACTTGCTAAGACAACTGCTGTTTCACAAAGGAAACTGGTCAATTTTGACTGGAAGGTTAATGTATGTAAATTCTTTCATGTTTTAGTTTTTTTTGTTTGATTTCTCATGTTAGTATTTTGGAAAACCATTTTTCCAGTGATTAATGGTTGTTAATATCTGAGTAGTATGTCTGTCTGTCTGTTAGGGCAGCTAGACAATCCCTGTTGCAAACACCCGCTCAGACACATTTTGTGTTTGTTCAATGTTATACTGCAACTATGCTGAGCAGAACTTAGTTACATCTAAGAGAGAACATACCTGGCATGATCAACAGTTTGATCAAGACTAGTACACTCAAACGTTTGGTCATGATGACTTGTATTTTCATGTTAGCGAACAATTCCATCTATCTAATTTCAATCTCAAGGCTGGGATCAACCTGTGGGGTGTGATTTTCAGCCATTTTCCACTGGTGTTGCTTGCTAGGATCACATCAAGAAGTCATCTTCCTGATAAATCAACCCTGTGGAAATCCAACCCTTGGTCTCATGGTTGGAAGGCAAACATTCTAACCACTTGGCCACATGCCCGATGATGAATATATATTAAATACATGTTTCTTATATTTTATTATTGGTTTTGAAATATGGAGTAGTTTGTTCCAATGTTATTCTCTTTGTTATGATTAAGTCACACAAGTTTGCAATTATATGCCTCCACTGAAACCTTATCTTATATTTTAGCCAATGAAAAATTCATCTCTTTCAAGTCTCTCATCATTTGTTCTTCTGGCAGTGTTTTTTTTTTTTTTACCTGTCTCTCTTCCACTTCTCAAAGTAACTGTATTAGATTATGACCAATTCAAGCCTTATTCCTTAATATCAAGGGACATATATGGACTCACTGACCTCTTATATAATTTCTTTATTAGAAATCTTATCCCTAAGCAGTCTGTTATGAAAAGTCATTATTCTTTTGCATGTCCTGACTTTTCAGAACTTGGAGCTCTACAAAAATGGAAACTGTATGTAAAAGTATTTAAATATTCTTATATAATTTTTTGTTATTTGATGCATAATAACTGTATCACTGTTATACAAATTTCTAACTTATGGCTACATCAAGTTGAAACACCTGTTTCTGTATGATTATCAAAGTTCAGCAACATTAAGCATGGTCAATTCTTTGACCGTTTAGAAATACCAGGTGTTGTTAGTTTGGATATGTGGGTGGTGTAATGGATAATGGCTCGAAATTGTTAATTGGAGAGCCAAGCCCTAATTCCTGTTGAGTTTGTTAAATTCAGTTACATGTAAATACCCTTAGGAAAGGTATGTCCACCTTTTCTCCCCCAGCTATGGGTTAATTAGTAAGACTTATATCACTAATTCATTATAATCAATATTTTCTTGCTTTAAATAACCTGCAAAAGGTTGATAAGCCATAGAAAATGAATGAATCAACCAAAAATACAAATTTCTTTTGAGATAATGCAAATTTGTCTTTTAGACAATTGTCAAATTTTAAAATTTACTGCAATTATGTTAATTTAAGAGTGATTTTGAAAAAACCTTTTTCCTTTATATACGTTTCCTTATTCAAGGGAAGCAATCCATGTAAAATATTTTATAAAAGCAAAACCAGTTTTAGGTGTGTAAATTTATATATAAATTTCGGTACAAAATAGGAATAATCAGATTTAACTGTTTTAACGACTATAAATAATTTAATATTTTGCAGATATTTCATCTAATTATCAAATTTGATATTAATTCTTTATATGTAAGGTAAATATGTAAGTTCTTGAGCAGAAGCTTCCCACAAACTTCTGTTTTGTGGAACTGACTCCCAAGAGGATGTTTCCTCAATTACTACAATCTTAATCTCTGTAACTTTCTACTTCGAGTGGCTCTTGAGCCTTGTACAAAGTAAATATTGTAAAAAAATATGTATTACAAATATGTATTTGCTTTCTAATTATGTAACAATGTTATCTGATTTATTACTGTATTGTATTGATGCATGTAATTCTTCTCTCGTTTACCTGTGGATTTGCAAATTTTGGATACAATTTTTAAATTGGGTTTGTTGTTTATTATAAATTTAGCTATATGTCTGCTGACATTTTTGTTGACTTGATTTCATTTCCTTAATGGACATTTTTAGTAAAAGAAACAAAGATGCGTTTACTTTTAGTAAATGTTAATTTTTATTTGCTAAGATAAGTCCAGTTTTGGATTAATAATGATATAAACTTTTGTGTTAATTTTGTGATTAATGTTTGGGAAACATAGACATTGATATGGATTTATCTGTCCTGAATGATTTCCAGTTTACTGCCAAATATTATTTAATAGTTCCAATTTAATGATTTCTTTTTGGGGGTTAACATTTCCAGTTTATAAACACACACACAAGTTGACAAGCCAGTAGACTAGCATATAATATTTTGTCTTCTTCTTTATATATCCATTATATTTATATAACAATTACAGTGGATATGTGGTTGGCTTAATGGAAAATGGAATTAGTAGGTAGAAATTAAATTTGGCCTATTGTTGCATTCATTTTGCACTAATTTTCTTGAGAAAAGCATGAATCTTCTCCCTCTAGATATCAGTAAAATAGTAGATCAGACTGGCTTCTTTAGCTTTGGTAGTGCAACCAGCCTAGGACAACACTGAGTTCAAAACTGTAGAGAAGGCAGTCAAAAATTACTATCTTTATTAAAAAAGAGGTCATGACAATTCATAGATATTAAAGAAGAAGAAACTGTAAAGTGCCTTGATCACCCATGTCATAAAGGAACAGTTCATTAAAAAAAATCATTATGTAATAATTTCATGAACTTATATCGAGTTGCATTATAGCATTTTGAATATAATTTCATTTTTTTTAATCACAATAAGTAAAATACTTCAAAGAGGAAAATGTCTTTATCTTGTATAATTTGAGAGCTTTAAAATACATTTTTAAAAGAATCAATAATAATATTCACCATAGCTAATAAACTTTGTCTTCTGTTAAATACAAAGATTTAAAAAATTTTTTAATCCTTCTCTATTTCAGTTGGTGATGTCAAGTGATAAGCTTGGTTTAGTACAGGAGCCGCTTTGCAACTTGGACTTTGAAATCAACAATAATGACCAAAAAACAAAGACTTCAATTGAATTAACAAGTGAAGACCTGAAGACACTAATCAAATCCTTGGAAGCTGCAAACAAGGTAAATCACTCAGTTTCTCATGAAAATTAGTAAAGACAATAATAGTAAAGTGATAAGTAAGTGCCTTAATTTTATGATTGGAAAGTAAATAACCATCTTGTTTATCTTATAAACAATGATAAGAAGATCATTACCAGGAATTAAGCACACTATTGTTGAGTTTTGATACTCATTTATAAGATATAGTTATTTTATCGTTTTTGCATAAATATTGGGTAGAAACAAAAAAAAAAGTTTGCAGTATTTTTCAATAGGTGACATTTGAAAGCATAATTTTGTTTCACACATGACTGAAATTTATGACATATGTACATATTCTGAAAGGTGACATTTCAATGTGTCCTTCTATATGATCCAGATGTGGGTTGTGAATTTTAAATGTTTTTATGTTAAAAGGGAAAATGGAAGAAAATGAGATACATTTTTGTCATCTGATGGGCTTTTATTTCCAGAAAGGAAAAAAAAATCAGTACAAAGAGCAAAAACAATATTTGCCATTTATAGAAATGGTACCATAGCTGATAGTACTGTTTGTATGTACATTTAGAAGTGAAAATTTTGATTTGGAAGACTGAGAACATTCTGGCAGGCCTTCAGTCATTGGTGATGACTAAATTGAAATGCTGATTAAAAATAATCCAGTTTACATGATAGAGGACATTGCAAAGTTACTTTACATATAAGCATTGTAAGATGTTTGAGAACACTTGGATACATGAATTGCTATGATGTTTGGTTGCCTCACGATTTAATGAAAACAAATAATAGATTACATTTTTATGTATGATTCTTTTCGCAAACACAACATATTTTTGAAAAGAACAATAATGGATAATGAAAAATGTGGAGTGAAAAAGGTTCTGGAGAAAATGAAAAGCCAGGTGGCAGGTAGATGCTGTGTATCTGATGATTTTAGAAGTGCATTGTGCATTACAAGCTCGTTCTGCAAAATTAAACCAGTACTCACCTGACTTTGAACTTTTGGATTACTATGCTATGGACTTTTGTTTTGACCTAATATTAACATTGTAAGAGAATTTTCTAGAGATTCTAAATCTGCTCTGCTCTTTAATAACATACCAAACACTCATTTCTCTGCATTCTTGTCTTTAATGGAATTTAAGAACTGACTTGATATAATGTTCTTCTCTGTATCCTTACTATTAGTGAGTTTGAGTCAATAGATAATAAAAGGTTAAGTTACTTAGAGCCACAAAAAATAGGACATTGTGGAAAGCTGTGATCATTTTTATGCTGTCCTGAAAGGACTTGTACTTGTTGCAGCATTCACCCCGGATTGGTTGAGCTGGCTCTGTCAAATAAATCTATTGTATTCTGAAGGACATGGACATTCATAGTAGGAGTTTCATTGGGAATTTGGATTTACAAGCTGTCACTAGCTGAATATATATATATACACACACACACACACACACACTTTAGTATAGTGCAGTCCAAGCAGTTCCAGACTGGTTTGAATTCAAAGTTTTTCTTCTAAACTGGTTGCCAACCAAGGCACAAGAACCCAATCTGTCCTTCTATTTTCTCATAGCTGGAGTTTGTGGGTATTAGTACATCAGTGAGTGTAATGGGCTTGACTGGAATTTGAACTCAGCTTTTCAGTTCCTCAATCTGAGCCACTTCCCATTACTCCACAAAGAACATGGCACATAAAAGAAGAGTATTGTTTTTTTTTTTTTTATAAGATACTAAATAGGTATCAGGAGGACTTCCCTCAGACAATTGCCCCCATAGGACAACTGTCCACTAGACATAAGTTATATATAAGATATAACACTATTTGCCAGTTCCTTCTGCTTCACATAGATGGAGCCATCTTAAATAAATTTCCTTTTACCGTATTCACTTTAGATGATATAAAAATGTTTATATACTTGGAGAGTTGTAGATGCACTGATCAGTCCAAACCCTGAATTCAGACTCCCAAAACCTACCATTTTGGCAGGTCAGGATAATCCCATAAACTTCAAGATGGCTTTTAGAAATTTCTCTTTGTTATTGAAGTAAAAGCAACACTTAAACAATTTGCCCTTTCCATATCTGTAATATAAATATTGACATTTTCTGTCCTGTCTGAATGTTTTTTTTTTTTTTTTAGAAAATCTGAAAAGATCCATAAGAACTTTTTACTAGACATTGTCAGAAGTGAGTTCTTTTCAATGGCCATCACAGAAACTCTCAGATGTCAAAGTTCATAAAATTCTTTGTCAGCTGTGAGGAAGATATTTGCTTACGTTTGTTAAATTATAGGGAAAAGCTTACACCATATTTGTGTTGTCCATTGTATTTTTCTGTAATTACTTATGAGTAAGATTCTAAAACAAAGTAATATTAATGAATAAAACCAAGTGAATTTTTTTTTTTTTAATCTTCAGACTGTCATGCAGTATACATCCTGATTTTATGCTGTTAAAAACTGAATTGCTGTAGAAGTGATATGATGAAAATACCTGCTCTCAGAAACTCAACTGGAGAAAGCTTTGTTGACTATGAGGGACACACTTCCAGTGGACTCATTCCCATCTACTCAAAAGATTCTTTTTTAAACATCTAACTTTACCAGCAAAAATCATGTACATAATTGAATTTTTGTAACATTCCATTCAGGAGCTGACTGCATTAGCAATTTATAAATAAAACAAACTTGAAATATTGCTTCACTTTTTTTGTTTTCATTTAACAAAATAAAACAACAACAAAAAAAAAAAAATATAAATCAATCATCTAGTAAAAAATAAAATACACATTTTCAAGTTGGTCTGCATGTAACTTGACTAAAATTTATATAGAAATTAGGAAAGACCTTTAACATTACTTCAAATAATGAAGATCAAAGCAAAGATTTTTTTTTTTTTTTTGACAAATGTCATATAGTGGATTTTTCGATTTGTTTTGTAAACTCCAAATGCTAGACTATACCAAATTTAAAAAAAAAATTGTCTGGATTAAACATGTTCAGATAGCCTAGCCTAAGAAAATCAATTTCACATTTTCTGAATAATCCCGAATCGTTATTTTATAAGCAAATGCCAATTACAATGCTATTCTTTTGTATGTACAAAATATTCCAACTATTTGAATGCTTGATATTTATTCAGAGGGAAAGCAGGTTTCAGAACAAATATAATATTTTGACTAGAATTTAGTCTTTAAAATAAGAGCAAAGATATATAAATAAGATACATCACTTCTGAATGAATTGAAATTGGGTTCTGCTTTAGAATTTCCACAATGCAGAATGACAGAAAATTTAAACTTCAAATTGTCTTTCGCTTCTAAAAACTAACTACATAGAGCTTCATATTAATGAAATTGGTTTTTGTCTTAAGAGAAAAAAAACCTTATGGTGGACTGTCATCTGTTAATCATTACATTTACTATGATAAATTCAAGCAACATTAAAATGCTTGGCTTTTTTTTTTTTTTTTGCAGCTAGCAGATTTATTTCATTTGTATACAATGTGTTTTTAAGACAGTAAAGAAGTCATTGTATTAAAACTTTATCAATTTTCTATATAGGGAAGAGTATGTGTCCCTTTTTTTAAGGCTTTCAAAATCACATATTCCGTTATAATTTTAAAACGTCTGGAACACTTATTCAAACAGACTATTGTCACCATCTTTGTTATCACAAAGTTTCAACCACTGTGATCTCCAGCCCTCTCAGGTGTTTGGCAATTCAGATAACCTTCAAGGAATTTCAGACTAACCATTTATTTAAAATATGGGGATAGTCTGTCCACATCCCATTACCAGGAAGGTCTTGTCTAGCTCTGATTTTAGAACTGCTTTGTTATTGCTTACCACATTTCCACAGAGTCCAAGTACATACTGTCAGGCCCAGAGATTGAACTCACAATTACTGTTACCAAATTCATCAATTCACTTGTCACTATTTCTCCTTTCATTTAATATTTTTTATCTCAATATTTTAATTTAATAGTGTATCAGAATAGTAATTCCACATCAGAACATGGTTGTAAAGACAGTTATGGCTTGCCTATCACCACTCTAAGTTACTGAACAATAATTGTTACAAGGCAAAGATGTATAATTTAATACATATTAATGTTGATAAAATTTAACTGCAGACTTTTCAGTTTTGTTTTTTTTTGTAAGAGATATTTACTATGTTGAAAGCACCAATTGCTGCAGCAGTAAATTTATAGTGTTCATTTATTGAAACTACAGGTTATAATTTTGAAAGAGCAATTTAATTGATTTAAATTGAAACTTTACAAAAAAAAAAAAAAAAAAAAAAAAAAAAAAAAAAGTCACTGTTGGTTTCTATAACATCAATAGAAATGAGCAGTTATTCATTTTGTATTTTAAAACTGGTCTATAGAAAAAAAAAAATGAATGAATACATAAACAACTAAATAAATATATATATATATATATATACACACACACACACACTTGAGTATAGTGCAAGGTTTTATGATCATTTTTTTTTATGCCAAAAATAGGGTTTCATTTTTTTTTTTTAAAGAGATTAAAAATCATGCATTTTCAGTGACTATACACAGGTAAGTTTTTTTTTTTGTCTGAAGTGGTTAAGATTCATGCAAAAGCAATCACACTACATGAAGTCAACATATACACAAGTATATATGGTACTTTGTAATTCCAAATTCTATTTTCATCTTAGTACAATAATACAAGGAAACTTTAAAAATTCAAAATTTTATTTATGTAAATAATTTTTTTTTAACAATTTACAAAACATTAGAAATATCAAAATGTAAAACATGAGATAAGTCCATAAAATATGATGTTTATTCTTGGAGGGAGGGAGAGAGAGAAAAAAAGAAAAAAAAAATTCCCTTCACTATAAACATGATTTACAGCTTTCATTTACACATAAGAAAACTTTTTCCATTTAAATTCATTTTCACCAACAAATGTTTTGGATAGCATTAAGTGACATGGTTTAATTTCTCAAGAACATTATTTCCAGCCAGAAAGAATATTTGATCTTGTCCTTATATCTGAAGGGTGTATTTGTATTTACAAAAAGCAAGTCACTAAAGCCTAAACTGGTATCTTGTATACCAACCAGTTTGACATGAGAATTAGGAATTACTGATTTGGTGGTGGTGGAGGGACGGGTTAAAATAGCATTTAATATGTTCAATTTTTTAACTAATCTGATTTCATTATAGAATAATACTTCAATATGTGTTACAGTAATTTTGATATTAAGAGATTTTATCAAATTAAAAAAAAAGAAGAAAAAAAAAAAAGCATTCTTGATTTTTTTTTTTAAAAAAAAAAAATAAAAGTTATGTTTATCAGATTGTATGTGCATGCAAACATGATTTGGCAGAGGTAATATTTTAGCAATGTTATCTATATGTGGCGAATCACTGTTTTATCTTCAATATAGATTGAATTCTTCATATGAAATATATTGATTTCAGTTGCGACATTAAGTACCATTACAAATGTCTTCAGTTTAACTTTTAAAGGCACTGATAGAGGCAATATTAGAGGAGACAAATTATTTTTAATAGAATTCCTTTTCTCTACATGAGATGAGGAGTAGGTGGGAACGAACAAACCTGAATGCTTAAAACAGAGGCAGAATTACAGGTGGTATTCTTAGGTTGAAATTATATAAATAGACTAATTACCTTAGGCATGAAAAATTTTAGGTTTTCATAAGTCTTGAGCTTAAATCTTAGAGTTTGATTAAATAATTCTTAATCTGATAGATTAAGTCACTTTTCTTAAAGTTGAATTATAGAATAAATATGAGACAAAAATGAATTTCTCAAAAGGTTGAATTTATTGATTGAGGGATTCATTTTCTATGGCTTATCAACACTTTGCAGGTTCCAAAGGTTGAAATTAATTACTGTCTGGTGGATTTACTGGAATTATTTTCTCAATGACACTAAAGTCTTAGTATGTACTTTCAAACACTATTTTTTTTATTCTGTTCAATAATATAGACAAGAGGTTGGCATCTAAATCAGCTCCCCTACTAGCTTTTCTGCTGGTGAAGAGGGTGGCATGTCATCCCACAGGATGAAAAGCAAGGCCTGTCAAAGGGTGGATGAGCTCCTGTGTGTAATAAGCCTAGGGTACAGTCTCAAGCCTTGAATACCAACCTTCTTAGAGATGGTGTCTTGATAAAAACAGTGGACTTGTACTACACCAAGCCTTGTAAAACTTTGCCTCAAATCATTATAAATCCTGTCAGACAGGATCCTCCTTGCATTAATCCTAGTTCTGCCTTGAAAAAAGAAACAAAAAAAACAGCTATGTATGTATGTATGTAATAAACATTTTCTTCCACTTTTTCCTCATAAAATCTCATGGGTGGAAACACTTGCTCATCCTAATACAAAAGCTTAGAGTAAAAACTATCATAATGAACTTCAAAAAAGGAAATGGGAAACAAACAGTCTGTAACCAAATTTCAGTTGGATGGAATATATGAATTCATATTAAAACAAAACAATTTTAAACCTGATCAATGTCCATATGCAATGCAGTCATCAACAAACAAGCCTATAAATAAGAGTGACACATTCTCTATTTGATGAAAAGGAAACTAATAGAAACCATGCAGTTCAGGGGTTTCTAGGATTGTCTCATTTTGTATCAGTGTACAAACTCTTTTTGTTTAAAGGATGCAGCCTGCAATACACATACCATCTAAGACCTCAAAAAATTTTGAAAATCATATTCAATAAAACTATTTATGTAAATAGTTGAACAGATTTTTTTTTTTTTTTTTTTTAATATGTTCCAAGTATTTTTACAGTTTGATTTAGTGAATTAATTCAAACTTCTCATCCCAGAAATTCAGACAGAAATAGTTGTACAAGGGTGAATAAAATTCCAAACTTTAGATATTTCAATTTTTAATGTTAAATAGAATTTTAGATAAGAGAACATCAATATGAACATTTATGAAGCAATTTTCAAATATGTACATCGTTTTTATTTTCCAGTTTATATGAACTAAGGTAGATATTCCACAGCAGTTTAGTTTTTAAAAAAAATAAAGAAAATCATTAAATGAACATTATGATTGGAAAATTCAGTTTGGAATGCAAAGAAAATTTCAACCAAAAGTGATTGCAATAAGATGATGAAAAATAAGTTCAGTCCTAATGTTGGGAATTTACCATGTTTCTGGCAAATTTCTGTTTATCAGTTAAAATATTCAATTAAAAAATATGAGAGGAAAAAAAATTTTTTTTTTTTTTTTTTGTTCAAATTTCAAGCCTTGTGAAAATAGATTTGCCAAAGATAATACTAACTTGAGAATATAGTGTCCAACGCAAGTAAATATACAAAAGGTCTGTTTAGAAAGAGTATTGATGAATTCTTAAAAAAAAGATTTACAAATTCAGAAGTCAAAATGTTTTTAAAAAGAAATTAA